CGGGTTGGCTAAGGATGTGGAGTTCCAACTCGGACAATGGAAAAGCAAAGAGACGATTGAGGTAATTCCACTTGACGATTATGACTTTGTCATTGGCTTGGGATTCCTTGATAGAATAGATGCTCCAATTGTCCCATTTGCCGATTGTATTTGTATCTTGGACGCACGTTGTCAATGTGTGATCCCGGTCAACAGAGAGTCGGGTCGCGACCAAAAGATAATATCGGCAATGCAAGTTACTAAGGGAGTAAGGAAAGGGGAAGCTACTTTCTTGGCAACTTTGAAGGTTGAGGATCCAAAGGGTGAAGGGAGTGATGTCCCGACGGAAGTAACCCGAGTCCTCGACTCTTTCAAGAACGTGATGCCCCCCGAGCTCCCGAAGAAGCTTCCGCCTCAAACGGAGGTGGATCATAAAATCGAGCTCGTGCCCGACGCTCGACCACCCGCCATGGCACCCTATCGCATGGCGCCTCCCGAGTTGGAGGAACTAAGAAGACAACTCAAGGAGTTGCTCGATGCGGGGTATATCCGACCATCGAAGGCTCCGTTTGGTGCCCCGGTTCTATTCCAAAAGAAGCACGATGGATCACTCCGGATGTGCATCGACTATCGGGCATTAAACAAGCTGATGATCAAGAACAAGTATCCGATCCCTCTCATTGCCGACTTGTTCGATCAACTTGGAGGAGCACGATGGTTCACCAAGCTTGATATTCGATCAGGATACTATCGAGTGCGGATTGCAAAAGGGGACGAGCCAAAGACCGCTTGTGTAACGCGGTATGGGTCATACGAGTTCCTCGTCATGCCATTCGGCTTGACAAATGCTCCGGCCACATTTTGCACACTCATGAACAAGGTACTCCACCCGTTCCTCGATCAATTTGTAGTGGTTTATCTTGATGATATCGTGGTGTATAGCCGGATGCTCGAGGAACACATCGAGCATCTCAAACGAGTCTTCCGAGTTCTACGGGAGAATGACTTATACGTCAAACGGGAGAAATGTGCCTTTGCACAACGAGAAGTTCCATTCCTGGGACACATCGTCGAGGGTGGACGTGTGCGGATGGACGTGGCCAAGATTAAGGCCATTGTAGATTGGGAGCCGCCGACCAAGGTGACGGATCTAAGGTCATTCCTTGGCCTTACCAACTATTATCAACGGTTCATCCGAGGATATTCGAGCATCACTGTGCCACTCACGGATATGTTGAAGAAGGAGAAACAGTGGGAGTGGACGGCCCGATGCAAAAGGGCGTTTGATCGGTTGAAGCAAACCATGACCAAGGAGCCGGTGCTAGTGCTACCCGATCACGCCAAACCTTACGAGGTAGAGACCGATGCTTCCGATTTTGCTATTGGTGGTGTTCTTATGCAGGATGGACACCCGGTAGCATTCGAGTCGAGAAAGTTGAACGATACGGAACGACGATACACGGTCCAAGAGAAGGAGATGACCGCGGTGGTACATTGCCTTTGTACATGAAGGCATTATCTCTTGGGATCCCGGTTCGTCGTAAGGACGGACAACGTGGCCACGAGCTACTTCCAAACCCAAAAGAAATTAAGCCCGAAGCAAGCTCGTTGGCAAGATTTCCTGGCGGAGTTCGATTATGTGCTCGAGTACAAGCCTGGGAAGGCGAACTCCGTGGCTGACGCTCTTAGTCGAAAAACGGGGTTGGCGTCGACCCTAACTCGTCCCGAGAATCCATGGAACGAGCGGATCAAGGAAGGGCTCAAACATGATCCAACCGCCAAGGCAATCCTCGACCATGCTCGGGAAGGCAAGACCCGGCAATTTTGGTGTGAAGGCGACTTGCTTTACACCAAGGGACGACGGTTGTACGTGCCTCTCCATGGGAAGCTAAGGAAGGAAATCTTACGGGAGTGCCATGATTCTAAGTGGGCGGGTCATCCGGGGATCCACCGCACTATGGCGCTTGTGGAGGATCGATACTTTTGGCCTCACTTGCGCGACGACGTTGAAGCATATGTACGGACATGTCTTATATGCCAACAAGACAAGCTTGAACAAAGGTCGTCGGCGGGGCTTTTGGAGCCACTTCCCATCCCGGAGCGTCTTGGGAGAGTGTCTCCATGGACTTCATTGTCAACTTGCCAAAGTCCGAAGGGTGTCGGACTCTTATGGTCGTGGTGGATCGATTTTTCAAGCACGCGACGTTCGTGTCCGCATCGAAAGATTGTCCAGCCGAGGAGGCGGCCAAGCTATTCTTGAAGCACGTCGTCAAATATTGGGGAGTGCCACAAACGATAGTGAGCGATCGCGACCCTCGATTCACGGGTAGGTTCTGGACTGAACTCTTTAAATTATTAGGGTCGGATCTCAACTTCTCCACGAGCTTGCATCCTCAAACCGACGGACAAACGGAGCGAGTCAATGCACTCTTGGAGTTGTACCTTCGACACTATGTAAGTACGACACAAGTGAATTGGGCGAAGTTGATCGATGTAGCCCAATTCTCCTACAATCTTCAAAAGAGCGAGTCCACGAACCAAAGTCCGTTCGAGATCGCGACGGGACAACAACCACTCACTCCGAGTACGGTTACAACGGGCTATAAGGGGAGTAGCCCATCCGCTTTCAAGTTCGCCAAGGAGTGGCATGAGCAGGCGGACTTGGCGCGAACGTGTCTACACAAGACCTCAAAGCGCATGAAGAAGTGGGCCGACAAGAAGCGACGGCACGTAGAATTCCAAGTCGGGGACTTGGTGTTGGCCAAGCTACACCTTGTGCTCCGATATAGGGACATGCATAAACCATGTTAGTATGGTTCCAAAAACCATACAGGGCTTATACGTCGCTACGGGGGGCCATTCCGAGTGTTGCATCGAGTCGGGAAGGTCGCATACAAACTGGAACTTCCACCAAAGCTTAAGGTACATCCGGTATTCCATGTTAGTATGCTTAAACCTTTCCGTGTAGACGAAGAGGACCCGGATCGAGGGGAGTCGCAACGGGCACCGCTTGGAGCAAAGACCTCCTATGATCGAGACGTCGATTTCATCATGGCGGATCGAGTCATACGGAAGAGATATCGTGCGCCGAAGCGAGAATACTTAATCCGATGGAAGGGTCTTCCGGAGAGTGAAGCAAGTTGGGAGCCCGAGGAAGCTCTTTGGCAATTCAAGAAACATATCGATGCTTTCCATGCCGAAGACGCGACGAGGGCGTCGCCCGAATAGGTGGGGGAGAATGTCACGGCCCGAAGAATTGGATCGTTCCTGAGGTTTTCTGGACGATGGACCGTGACCGACCCTTGGACGAGAAGGCGGGCCCCGAGTGTTCTAGTACTAGGGTTTTCTTGATGTCTTCTAGAATACTCATGGGGCGGGCGATACGGTAATTGTACCCTTCTGTAATAAATACGGTAGGTGGGGTAGTTGGGGGAGTACGATCTCGACCGTTGAGATCGGGGTGAGATCTACTGATACGGTCAACCCGATACTTGTATATAATGGGGTCTCCTCCCCTTCATTTTATCATATCTCATTTTCAAGAAGCAATACAAAGTTGAGAGCTTCTCTCTCTAGAGTTTCTCTCTCTAAAGTTCTTGTGAGTGTGAGTGTGGGAAGGCTTACTTGGGGAGAAATTTCTAAGGCCGCACGGGTGTGGGAACGCTAGATCGATCGACCCGTGACACATTCACATCACCAAAATCCAGCCAAAATTAGTTGGAAGGATTGAATTGGCACAAAGACAAAAGATTTATGATTCAATTGGCAACAAAAAAAGGTTTAGGATTAAATTGGCACTAATGCAAAAAATTTAGGACTTTTTCAACACTTTTCCCTTCAAATCCGAACCCCCGAACTCATTGGTCGCTAACAAAACTGAACCTAGGCTCATTCAAGCGGTGGGACCTCCCTCACCCATCGCCGGAATGTTCGGTTTATAATTGGATATCTAAGGTTTATGAATTCCATACGGGCGAAATTGAGAGAGAGCAGAAGTTATATTCAATACCATGCAAAGGCGAATTTGATATTGAAACAAGAGGCATTGATAACACTTTTTTTAGCGGGATTTCTCTTTTATCTCTATGCATCGAATTTGATCATTCATTGGTACTGGACCTTGTCAAGGGGCAGGCAGCCCGTGGGCCCACCGTTATTTTTTTTAGGCCCATTGAATAGGCCTCGCAAAATTTCTAGGCCGATTCCGGGGGCAAGCCGAGCCTTGGCAAGGGTCTGGAGGCCCAGCCCACCCATTATTAACTATTCCACCTCGATGCTGAAAAAAATTTATAACTGCTAACAGGATACAATAAGGCTAATTTTCTGATATAGTATACAGAAATAGTATAAAAGCTCATAGGTAAAAGAGTAAAATAATTATTTTTCATTTGGTTTTCACATTTTTTTTCTTTTTTAAGGTAGAATTCTAAAAAAAAAATTGATGGATATAAAGGTGGAAGCGGGGCCGGCCATGTTGTCCCCTTGGCCGGACATGGGCACTTGCCGTTGCCGACGCCCGCACCTATAGGACTTGGCACTGCGTCTAAAGGTTTGGCCTTGATCAGGGCTGGCCCTCCCAATGAGCAGGTCTAGTTAGTACCATCATCTGGATATAAGTGTCATCTATTGCACCGATGCGATCGTAATTGGAAAAGTAATGCAGCATCGAGGAACTTCTTCAGACGAGGAAATTATACTGCACATGAATATCTTATCTTAAAGTATGGATAAATCTTTCTCAAAGCTTCTCTCAACCATCGATGGTCATATTAGTCAATTCTACGGTGAACTATCTACTCATTGCGCACCTTTACTCTATTCAAAGCACACTCTCAACACCCGCTTTGCGAAGGAGTTGATGCGGCCGGAGGAAGAGAACTGGTGGGCAACGATGGTATTACTACCATAGACCTAGTCACTAAGCTGTTCTTATTACTCGCCGGCCTTCATTAAGCTGCTAGGTGAAACACTTCGTACATGAACAAAAGCCAACTCTACAGTAAGCATGTTTTCTGTCGGGATCCTCGAAATGGTAGAGTGAGATAAACAAAGAGCAATCACAGAACTAGCAAGCAACTCATATCTGATCTCGTCTTCTTTCTTATTCAAGGTGATATCAAAGATACCTTGTAGCGTGCTCGAAGCTACCTGGAAGCGGAAGATTGCGCGACATAATATCTTCCACTAGGAATTTCCTAGGAAGCCTTGGAGGATGTCCGTCCCAGCTTGCTGAGCCAAACCCTCGGCGATTCCCTGGAACACAGTACCCATCAGACTACTCTCACCCCAATCATTCCTCTGAGTAGGTCCATGTCCTGGAAATGGACAATAAATTACACCCGGATAGTGATCATATGGTTGGTATCTCATGGTTGTGCATCCAACTTGCGGATTAGGATCTGGGAAATACAGATGACTAATGAATCCTGGCCCTGGCACAGTTGGGATAGAGACGCTGTGGCACGGTGGCCCGGCATGAGAATAATTCACTTGCTGTTGTAGCGGAGTGTCAGGAATTGGTGACGGCGCAAAAGCGCAGAGAGGATGCAGATCGAGCTCGCACTCTTGACAGTGGTAAGAAAAGCCCGTGCCTAACTTTCCGCAGGCATTGCACACGAAAGCGCCTCCCTCGTAGACTGGGGTCGGGGTCAAAGTAAGAATGTGTTTGGGGTCGATCCTGTGGCTCAGCTTCTGCGGCATCTGGGAACAGGTCCGGTGGAGGCAGAAGTTGCATGGGAAGCAACAGTAGGCCCACTCGGAGATCGCTAGCTTGCAGCCTGAACATAGGACTCTGCTTCCGGTGGAGTGCTGCTGGATGTTGAGAAGCCTTAAGGGATGTTGGTGGCTTAAGTGTTGTATGCTTTGGTCGGCGTCGATCTTTCCCATTTTGCCTGTCCAAAAGTCTTTGCTCTTGCAATCGGGTACTGATTCGCACGAGGCACTGACCGAATATTGCACTGCATTATAAGCTGATGATCAATGAAAAAACAAGATGTGAACACTGATTCTTTTTTTCTAATCCTTCTTTGTCCTGTTGAACATGTTTCTATGTGATTGCGTAGTAGTTTCACACAGACTTCCGTTTACAATAATTCGAATGTATCGATAAAAGCCAATCTGCCAACGTCAATTCAGAGAGACCTCGACGTGTCAACACTCCGTGATATCTATCATTGTGTCTGTTGATGGTGAATTGTGTTTAAAAAATACATAGAAGATAGAGATCTTTTACTTATTTCGGTTAACTCAAGTGTCAAATTTGTTTCTTGTAGTTGGCAGCTACCTCAAACGAGTTTTGATCAGGGTAATTTAAGGTTGCTATCTGTCACATGCTATTGGCATGTTATATACCAGGAGAGCAACATTGATAGGAACATAATATTTATTGAAGTTGCCGTCCCCCATAGCCTCATCTTTTGATGGAATCGCATCCTTGTGAGCCGATTAATATGCCAAACGACGGCGCTTACAATGTTCATATACTGTCCAAAGAGAGAAACAATGGCGCAAAAAGAAATTCTTTTTGGATTGTTCTCGAGTATTAGATGGAACCGAGATGATGGTTGCGATTGAAGCTGCATAAAAGATAGCTCTGCATTTGTTAAACATTTATATTTGTTTCCCTGAAAAGGCCAAGAAGGGTATTCCCATCATTTAATGTCCCTGTAGCATAGGATAGTTCCACACATACTGCAGACATGCATCCTCAACCTTTAGCAGTAGATTGAACAAGGAAATGCGGGATATATGAAGAGATCCAACTTTTGAACATACACAGATCGTGGAAATGTTAGTGCTGTTCCTTTAGATCCAGAATGCAACTTATTCTCCCAAAGACAAGGCAGATCTTCAACCAAGAATAGTTTCGGCCTGTCATCTTTTCTAGGTAACTTCCTGTTAATTTGGTTTGTCAAACTGTGTTCAGTGTTGGAGATTATCTATAATGAGAGTGACACCAGAGATTAATGATTATTGAAATCGCCATTCCATTACCCTCATTCTCTAACTGAATCAACTTGTATGAGCAAATGAATATGTCAAATTGTTATGATAGAAAAATTTCATCTGTATGCAAGTAAAGAGGGAGCATGAGAAGAATAATTCCTTCTGGAGCTGCTCATCAAGTTCTCAAAAATGCAGAAAAATTTTAAGAACGCTCCAGAATAAAGATCGTTACGAGACAGTTTTTGTGCATACACACGGCTTTCTCTGGAGAATACCAGGAGTTTATGACTCATTATTTGATCCCCAAAAACACATGATGCATTCCCCACTTTAGTCAGATTGCATGAGGAGAACCTGATGCCTTTGAAGATGCAAAGCAGAACAGTTCCTTAACACTTTGTTTTGATTCTGCTGATTACTTGAGTGATGTTTACGGGAAGATTATGACTGTTCATGACAAAATCATCAGTAGGACAAGAGATATTTGTATGTAGGAGTAATGATCAATAAAAATCCAAATGCAAAGAGCAGAGTAGTCCATAAGGTAGTGTGAGGCAATGCTTTCTTTTCCTATTCCATTATTCGGTTTGAGAAAAATACCGAATTGTCTTCAGATGCATTGCAATACGCTCCTCAAGAATTGACAAGATTCATACGCTTTCCTAAGAGCACGACAAATGCTCGCGCATATGGTGAATTTTCTCGGGAAAATTACCAAAAAAGTCCTAAACTTTTTGCAATTGTGCCAATTTAGTCATAAACCTTTTTTTTTTGCCAATTCAGTCCTAAACCTTTTGCTATTGTGCCAATTCAGTCCATTCGGCCACTTTTGGCCTGCTGGCGCTGACGTGGCCGCCGGCCGGCTGACATGGCGCCGGCCGGCGTCCACGTGGCAATATTTTAATATTTTTTTCGAATTTTTTTTCCTTTTTTTTTTCTTTTGTTTCTCCCCCTGGTCTGTCCGACTAGGGGGGAGGCTCGCCGGCGAGGGCCCAGCTCCGGCGAGGCGAGCTGGGCCTCGCCGCCGCTGGGCGAGCTCCGCCTCGCCGGAGCCGGGCAAGGCTCGCCGCCGGGCGAGCTCCGCCCTCGCCCGGATCTGGCGAGGCGGAGCTCGCCCGGCTCCGGCGAGGCGGAGCTCGCCATGGCCGGGCGAGGCTCGCCTAGCGGCGGCGAGGGCCCGGCTCGCCATGGCCGGGCGAGCTCCGCCCTCGCCGCCGCTAGGCGAGCTCCGCCTCGCCGGAGCTGGGAGAGCTCGCCATGGCTGGGCGAGCTCCGCCCAACGGTGGCGAGGGCCCAGCTCGCCATCGCTGAATTGACACAATTGCAAAAGGTTTATGACTGAATTTGCAAAAAAAAAAAGATTTAGGACTGAATTGGCACAATTGCAAAAGATTTAGGACTTTTTTGGTAATTTTCCCAATCTTCTCTTTAGCCGGCTTTTTCTTCTCGTTCATTTCTTCTTTAATCTCTCCCTTTGGTAATTCTCTTTAACTTCATTTGTGAAGCTCTGTTCATTAGCTTAAGCAACCAAATCCTACAGTCAAGCAAAAGGGTACGGCAGAATCTTGCTCTCTTCAACAAATCTTGAAAAGAACTCGAGGCTCGACCGTTCTGTACATTAATTTATGATTCTCAAGTCATAATTGTCTGCTGTGCTTGATAGGCATATGAAACAAATCGACGGAACTTCAGAGCAGGAGTCAAACTTCTTATCGTTTACCATTGAACCCACGAACGGATCTTGGATCTTTATGTTATTCAATTCTGAACACGCCAAGATTGTCAGATTGGCGGGGGTGCTCATAACATTGAGAAATACCAAGTTCCATATTGACCCGACCAGTCATAATTCGCCTTGGAGCATCTGGCAATGTTTGGCAGTGCAGAGCACGTGGGAGTATCGATGTCTAGCAAATCCGCCCACTGATTCTCTCCCCTGTTCCCCAGTTTTCCTCGTTTTCGTCGCCTCTTGCTGTTAGTGGAGGATTTAAGACTTTAAGTTCCTTTATGACACTCCCGAATTCCATGAATAAACAATAATTATTATTTCTTTTCTTATTCTCGTGCAAATTTCTAGTTGCAAAAGGAAGGAAGAAATTAGGTTGTTTCGTGTGGTGAAAGTTTTGCATTATTCCAAATAAAACTACTAGGATAAAAATTGGCACTAATGATATCTTGACGAAATCTACCCATGGAAAATGATGCAAAGGAAATATGATCGTCGCAATCACAAATAACCCTCGATCTTACGGGATTTTCGAGTCTTTTAGAATACTGATTGCTCATAATTAGATATGACAATCCTCATGTCCAAAATTAAATCGATATATATTATTGCATGAAGTTCTCGAGGTTGTCTCAAAAGATAACTTTCTCCGGGACACCGTCTCGTGACCATGCACCGTGTTTGATGTTGGTCAAGTTAGTTAACTCTTTGAGATTTATACTTCCATAACATGTTGGATATTGAGATCCAAGAAATTTTAGGCAGCAGAAGTCTATAGCATGGTAATGCCAAAACTTAGAATCTCTACCAACCCATGTTGTTGCATCACGAGATTTACCGATAATCGAGAATAAGACAGAGCTCGGACTACTGTCATGCTAGCAATTTCATGGACTCAATTGGACCAAATTAATCAAACCATTGAACAAAAAACCTCTTTTTTTTTATGGCATTTAAGGGAGAAAAGAATGAGAAAGCCGAAGGAAATGGCAGATTCGAGTAGTAGTTGTGATGCGAGTGTGACGCAGCAGCGCTCTACCAATCAAAGATTCAAGATTTTCGTAGTAGGTGCAACGATTTCCTTTCTCGCTCTCCGTCAGTCCAGAAAAAACCAAGAGCACCCACAGCTTTTAGCTTCCACAGAGAAACGTCTCTACCTAACCTCCTCCGCCCAAAACCACGTACACCCATCACTCTTCGATTGGAAGACTGCCGGAAAGAAACGTAAAAATCCAATCTTTTTTTCCCACCCATTTCTTGACTTGGCCATCTCTATTTGTTAGGACACTCGCTTCGCTGTCGAGGGCAGCTTTGGGACGACGGGTCGAGTTGTCATGGAGTTCTTGCAATCCCAAGATTTCCAGATTCTTGTGGGTGTCGCAGTGGCTCTTGTCGCCGTTGGAGTCGCTGTCGCCTACCTCAAATCTGCCATGAAACCAAAAGGTTCGAGCTTTTCCCCTTTCTCCCTGCCTTAATTTTATCTTCACAGATTTGAGCATTCGCTGAATCATGAAGCTGTTTGTTATTGCAATTTATGGATCTGATTCGAATGGCCGTTGGTACGAATCACAAGAGTGAGAGGTGTTGTTGTTGTGGCATTTATCAATTTCCTATGACATGGCCTGATAGCTCCTCAAGTTTGACTATTGAATTTCAATCTGATGCTTTCTTTTCATTTGGGATTGTGCCTCCAGTCAGAGCTGGTCATGTGGATCCAGGAGGCAAATATCTTCTTGTTGGTTCTTCTATATTTGACTTGTTCACTTACTGGCACTCCTTGCATTTGGATTTTCGGGTGCTTTCACTGGTTTTATTCTCTCAAATTTTATTGGGAAGAAGGAATGAGAGATTACACATGGAAAGAAAATTGTACCTGTTCGCCGAGAAACACGAGACTCCTACCTGATTTCACTTAGGAGGGGCTATCCTCAACTACTAAATCCAGCTAATATTCTATTGAATGTGAAATGTGTAATTTGTAATGTGAAATGATTGCGGTTGTCATGTTCCTTTGCTTGTCCGAACTGTCCTCTGGATTTGTGTAGGAGCTGGATGTGAGTAGCCTGTGCTTAGGTTCCTGCTCTCCTTGTTAATTTACTGTGCTGAGATCTAGCATTATAATATGACGTCTCATCTCCTGGCCTGTTGTGTTTCAATTTTGTTCATACGTGCTTGCATGAACTTGAATTACTTGCATGTGTTTGTAGGATGTTTGGATCCTGAAAATTTCAAGCAATTTAAACTTGTCAAACGGACACAGCTAAGCCACAACGTGGCAAAGTTCACATTTGAACTTCCAACGCCTTCTTCTGTTTTGGGTCTCCCCATTGGACAACATATAAGTTGCAGGTGAGTTGGCTTTTGTCTTTTGTCCTCCGTTGCTCGTACAAACTTCTTTGCGCTATGTGCCGTCGGTCTTTCACATAACTTGCTTTTGTTTCAACTCCAAATATGATGCTAACACAACCGAATTGGCAGCGAATGACTGTATAGAGGAATGATGGACGTCTGCTAATAGTGTAGAATATCCAATATGACAAATTAGCACCATTTTAAATCTAATCAACATAAAAAAATATATTTGATGAAACTATTGTAGAAGGCCTCTTAAAGAAACTATTATAGAATTTTTTGGTAAAGAATTAGTTTGCTTGAACACAATCGTATGGTGTATATGAATCGTATGAATACAACAAGCCAACAAAAACACCAGCTCTATCTTTCATTAGTTGCTATTCTTGCTCTCTAATTAGCAATGCTATTTGCAGGGGCAAGGATGGCCAAGGTGAGGAGGTTATCAAACCCTATACCCCAACTACCTTAGACTCTGATGTCGGATACTTTGAGCTGGTCATTAAGGTAGTTATCGGTGTCATATTGATTTCATCCGCAGTTGGTTGTTCCATTCTGAACTGCATTCTTCCTTGGCTGATTTCTGTATCAGATGTACCCACAAGGAAGGATGTCACATCATTTCCGCGAGATGCGCGAGGGTGATTATCTGTCTGTAAAGGGACCAAAGGTAGTCTTTTTCTTTGCTTGTCAACATAAAAAATGCCTGTAGCACTGTTCGTTACTGAACTTGGGACTTGTATGAGGCAGCATTTTTCTGATTGTTCTACCACATCTTATTTAGACTTGATTATCAATCTAGACTGCTCGACCTATTATGCAAAATTAGATTCTGTATCTTTGGTGATAAGAGGAACATAAACTCACAGCCTTTATGTTTCTTATTTCTGATATATATGTTGTGGTGGAGTTTCTTTTGGACGTGGGAAGATACTTATCTGGCGCTTTACATTTTATTTTCTTATAGGTAGTCTCTTTGTACTAAAATATGTTTGAACCTATCAAAAGATTTGACATGTACTGCGGCTTGATTAAATTAGTAATAGATATGTCCCTTGCCAGAACTCCTAGCCTGGATGTTTAAACTTTCTTCAATCTTTTCTTAATTACGTTGTCATCTTACTATGTTACAGTTTAAATTAGGGAACACTGATTATTCATGTTAGAGAGTATATGTTCTTGAGTTTCCCTAAGCTATAGAACAATCTAGCAAGTATTTAAAACATCGACTTTATATTATTCATACAATTATGGATTTTCCTAATTAGCCTTCATTTGTCATCTTGGTCCGTTGTATAATATGTTTGGCACTGTCTTGTCTGCCACCACTTTCATGCTATGCATTTGAATACTGGAAATCGCTACATCTTATTACGAGTTGTGCAATTGATGCAAAATCTCCTTTTTTTTCTTCTCTGCGGTCTAAAGGCCTGGCTGAAGCTTTGATTTTCTGATTTGTAGCTTTGTCCTTTTGTGCTTCCATAACTTTGCAAACTCCCCACTGGTCTGGCTACATTGCGGTGATTTAACTGCTCTGCTTTTCTAACTTACTGTATTGAAAGGTGGACTGCTTGCCGTTTGGTCTTGCCCAATGAGCTGTTATCAAATTTAGCTGCTCCTGCTTATACTTCTCATGATTAATGGATTAATACATCTGTCATGTACTGAATACCGATTAATTCTGATGGTTTGATATTGTCATCTGAAGTGAGTGTTTCAATTAATCTTTGCTATTATTCAACCTCTGCAACGTCTAATAATCTCTGTAGCAGTATTCTCCTCATAAATATTGTTCGTTAAAAAATATTGAACTTGAACTCCTATTTGTGTGAGATTCTTATTCTTCAGACCATAGATGTTTCCTCCTATTCATGTCTTTAAGACCATCGGAACAACACATGATCTCTTATATGAGCCCTTCTTGGGTTTTTCGAATCAGGGACGTTTCAAGTATCAACCGGGCCAAGTTAGAGCTTTCGGTATGCTTGCTGGAGGCTCTGGCATCACTCCAATGTTCCAGGTCATTTTTCTTGGTCGCAATGTGAACTGCATCAGTAATTTTGCGGCATTGACAAATGGTCTTCCTCAAGTATAAAATATTACCTTCTTTTGAGGTTTCGTTTCACTCTGTTCCTCATTACAGGTTGCTCGGGCAATACTAGAAAACCCAAAAGATAAAACGAAGGTGCACCTTATCTATGCCAATGTGACCTACGAGGATATTCTTTTGATGGTAATTGACTATCCTTTCGCTGGAAAAATCTTTCTACTTTACTGATGTTGAAATCCCTGAGCTCTTATAAGAATGTCAATTTCATTTCATGTCCATCTTGCTGTCTCTCAAGGGTAATTGCACAGCTAGATTTCTCTGTTCAAAAAAGCGAACAAGACTAAAAGCATCACCGTAAATGCTTGTTCTGTGGAAGTTTGAGAATTCATGCCAATGTAAACAACTGAAGTAGAATATCTTGGTGGAGATGTGCCGTAATTTACTTCCAAGTATATCTGCCCCTAATGATGGGGTGTCAAATATAAAATTGTGTGCATAGCTTCGAACATTTATTTGTGGAATCTTTTCTGATATCTCAATTACCCAATTCTATTTTATTGCCAATGTACCCATATCCAATTTAACCAATGTGTAAAACTGTACCCTGGTGTCTTTAATAGCTAAAAGCAGTTACTACAGGATCAGTAAATCGTGTTTAGGGTGGCTGAACGAGGATAAAATAGAGACATAAGCTGTTCATATTGTCCTTGATTGAACAAGAACTAATAATGTCTCCAAAATTAAATTCTTTGCTTGATGCAATTATCACTTTATTGCAGGAGGAGTTGGATGGCCTTGCTTCTAACTACCCAGATAGCTTTAAAGTTTACTACGTTTTGAACCAGGTAAAAGTTATTTTTCTTTAGTGCAATAACAAACTTTTGGAAGCATATGTCTGTATTTCCCTTTCATGCTGTTTTTAAATTAGAATTCATCGACTTAAATCTTACTAAGTCCTATTCCTTTGTCCTCAGCCTCCTGAGGGTTGGGACGGCGGTGTAGGATTTGTATCGAAGGAAATGATTCAAACCTACTGCCCTGCACCAGGGCCAGGAATTCAGGTTACTATGCGAAGCCTTTTCTCTTGCTTTTGTGTCATTTCGGTCCCTAATCTCATGTCTTATATTATTGAAACCTGTTAAGATGTCGAAGCAAATAACTGGCACTGATCCTTGTGTCCTTAATTACTATTTCTGTAGATTTTGAGATGCGGTCCACCACCGATGAATAAAGCCATGGCTGCGCACCTTGACGGTCTCGGTTATGCATCCGAAATGCAGTTCCAGTTCTGACCCTCATCGAGCAATAAACATTCGAGCGGCCCAGAATTTTCCTTTTCTTTTCTTTGCGGGGTCGGGAAATGTTCTTTGTGCTATTGTTCTGTGGTCTACAGATAGACTTCATCGTTCACGACTTTTTGAATGGAAACATGGGTTGCGGGCATGTATGTCGTGACTCCGGAATCGACTTCCCTGCCATTTTATAAAGCTAACCCTGCAATCTGTATCTGGGTAGCAAGTGAAATCGCTCAATCTTGCTAGTCATGGTACATTCATTACTATCTTGTGCGTTGTTTCCACGATTCAAGTCCAGGGACAATTGGGTGAGTGTTATCATCGAGTGTTAGAGATGAAGGTGACGTATTTTACAACTTCTTCACACAATTCCGAAGACGTTCTTGGCCTTTAAAATTTTAGAGGGGAATTCGAAGAGTGTATATTTTAAGTTCATTTGAGTTTGCTTGTTAACAAATCTGATTAACTTGAAAAGGAGACTATTTCTTACTGTGCCCAATCCTGTATAGCTCTCAAGTGAGTCAGAACCCGTCAGTCGTCACCTCTCGATTCTACGGCCTAAGATAGGTGCCATTTGGCCGTGGATGAAACCGAACGACTTCATGTGTTTTGACGTTCTTTTCTTTTAAATGATATAGACCGATACATAATGTTTGGTAGTGCACAAATTTTTGTTGGGAAATTGATATAAATGGTCCTTAAACTTTGATTCAATATGCAATGTGGTCCCTCAATTTTAGTCTAATATTTAATCATCCTTAAACTTTTAATTTGTTTAAAACTAGTCCTAGGACTATGTGAAAATAATCAATATTGTCCTTGAACTTAAATTAGTGGAAGGATAAACTTATATTGGGAAAATGATATAAATGGTCCTTCAACTTTGAATAAATATGCAATGTGGTCTTTGAAATTTAGGTCAATGTGTAATATCTTCCCTGAACTTTTAATCCGTTCAATATGGTCCTCGAACTTTTGATTAATGTTCAAATTAGTCCTTAAACTATATGAAAATGTTTAATGTTGTTCTTGAACTTAAATTAATGAAAAGATAATATTGGAGAGGGAAATGCATTTTCAATTGAAGCACTTAGGACTTCAACCTTTTTTTCTGCAAATTGAACTTTCATATAATTTAGGGACAAGTTTGAACACTTACCAAAAGTTTAGAGACCACATCGAACAAATCAAAAAGGTTCGAGGACCACATTACAGATCGGATCAAAGTTTAGAGATCATTTGTGCCGTTATCCCATTTTTTTTACTTTCTAAACAAGAATTAACAGAAGTTCAACGGGTAGACGGCTCGCTCGCCCGCCCGCCCGCCCACGCCCACGAGATCCGAAGGCGGATGGATGGGCTTTGGGCAATGTCCTAACACGAGAGCTCGGCCCGTTTAAAGCGGGCCTCACTAGAGTAAGGGGATCACGGGCCGGGCCGAGGTGCAGGCCCGCATTACGGCCCGAATGCTGAAGAGTTCGAACGAAGAGAAATATGATAAAAAAAGAAAAACCCATCTATATATCCCATCGTCTCCTCCAACTCCAAGGCTCTCGTGGAGCTCTGAAAATGGCGGCACCAGCATCCGCGCTTCGCCTCCTCCCTCCTCTCCCTCCATTTGGCGCCGCGTCCGCCGCACGGCCTCGGCGGCATCGTCTCGTGTCGTTCGAGGCTCGGCGCGTCTCTCCGGCGAATGCATCTTCCTCCTGCTCCTCCGGTGGGAGAAGAGTCGGTCCCATCGTCCTCGCCAGAGCTGCTACTCCACTCTGCACGAGGCACCAACAGGAAGAAGACGAGGAGGAAGTTGGAAGTGAAGAGGACGAGGAATTAGAAGATATCGAACACGAAGGCTATGGAGAAGAAGAAGAGGACGACGGGCAAGACCTGCAAGCTGTCAACATAGCCGAAGATGTTACGCAGGTACTAGTGTTCTCCTTTGTGGCAGTGATTCTACTCGCTCTCTCTCTCTCTCTCTCTCTGGTTTTTCGAAATGATGTCCGTCTTGAAGATAAACCGTGGTTGGCGATGCTTGTTTCTCTTGTTTAGCCCCTGTTAGAGTCCGTGGAAAGTAGAAAATGGTGCTCAAGCAATGGAAAAATGGGCGGAACTTTAGTTGGGATCATGAAAGTTTGGGTCTTTCTTTCTGGGTTTGTTCTCTAATGTAAAAATGCTCTTAGAATAATCACCTTGACACGAATTCGTGGTTCTTTTGGTGTGTTACTCACATAATACTAATATCAATTAGCTGCACATTAATATGGGCCGTACATTCATTTGGTTTGACAATTTAGGATGCTACAGTCTTTAGATCCTATTTACTGGCTGGTTCCTTGTTCTCGCACTGCAATGCTAGTAGAGTGCTGTTTTTGTATGAAACTAGTTTATTTGTCCAAGCATTATATTTGTGGCGATGATGGCTTGTAAGCAGTTGTGTTATGATCGAGTGAGATTTCCGATGGTTCCTATGATGTTGCAGTATGGAGTATTTAGCGGTTTGTGTTTAAAACTTCTTTTTTTGCCAAATGGATGTAGTTGATTGGGAGAACGCCCATGGTATATCTCAACAAGGTCACGAAAGGCTGTGTAGCTAATGTTGCTGCTAAACTTGAATCTATGGAACCATGCCGAAGCGTTAAAGATAGGTAATTTTCCTTTCAGCTCCGTACTTGGGTTGGTAATTTATATTGCTTGGTGCTCTTAAATGAATATCTATCTCTTGCATAGATAATTTTGTCTTCATGAAGTGGCTGTGGCTGCATAATTTATTTGATTGCAGTGCCGTTTAGCAGAAGCTAGTCAATTTGTTCATTGGATTTACATGTAACAAAAAATATTTTTAAAATTAGTTTATGGGATTGTTACTTATGCTATATCATCGATATTGCTGTTGCAGAATTGCTTATAGCATGATAACTGATGCTGAAGAGCGAGGAGTAATCTCACCCGGAAAGGTTTTGTATCTGCTTTTGGTTGCTTTAGGAAAAAAAGAGTATCATGTTGCACATAATGGTGGCCCATAATCTGCTTTGTAATAAATTTTTTGAGTGCTATGCATGGACATGACATGTTTGTTTCACTTTCCATTATGCAGAGCATACTGGTTGAACCGACCACTGGAAATACAGGACTTGGCATTGCTTTTGTCGCTTCAGTCAAGGGTTACAAAGTAATTGTTACCATGCCTGCATCGATTAATGTTGAAAGGAGAATACTATTACGTGCTTTTGGTGCCGATATTGTTTTGACTGACCCTGAGAGAGGCCTGCAAGGTGCTGTTGACAAAGCTAAAGAACTCGCCCTTAGGATGCCAAATGCATACATGTTTCAACAGTTCAATAATCAGGCGAATGCAAAGGTTATATTACAGCTTTTTTATGAAAATTTCTGAATCTTCTGATTTTCCCGTTTACTATCTTGTTTTTGTTCCTCTGATAATCAAGCAAGACTCCTCCATCATAAAGTGTCTGACTTCTGTGAATTACAGATACATTTCGAAACCACAGGACCGGAAATATGGGAGGATACAATGGGTAATGTTGACATACTCATTGCTGGAATTGGAACTGGTGGTACAGTTACGGGTACTGGGCGTTACTTGAAAATGATGAACAGAGCCACTAAGGTTCGTCAACTTCAAATGTGAAATTCCCGTGTCGTTGCTTGTGGCAATATCTTCTTCAGTCTATGTTGGAATTGTGTTCCTTGGTGAGAATGTGATGTGTCATTAAATTCTGCAAATATGGGGAAAACATAGTGCCAGGTAGATTGGCCAAATTGGGAGAAATGGTTGGCATGACAATTAATAAAGTGTTAAGGACTGTAGGAGGATGTAAATTGTAGGCTTCAGTGCATGGTAAACAGGTGACTATTTGTGATACAATTTCTCTTTAGGCAATTATTCTGAGCATGTCTCTACTACATTGATAATTCTTCTCACCACATTGTCCAAGTTGTTTAGGGTGTTATAGGTTTTCTTCATGACTGACTCTTCTCTGAATGTTCTGGCCTTCTCTACGGTTCTCTCTTACGTAATTAAGTAAACTTCCTATTGTACTCAATTCATAGGTAATTGGTGTGGAACCTGCAGAGAGGAGTATAATATCAGGGGAAAATTCAGGTCCAACCATTGTCCATGGCTTGTATTCTTCTTTGTGAAAGTCTGGTTTCCCTGATATAATGTTTTCTTGCAGGATACGTCCCTAGCATCTTGGATGTTAAATTGCTTGATGAGGTTGTCAAGGTAATAGCTCTGTTTTCAAAACATAAAGAATGGTAGAAAAGACTTTTATTGTGTTACATTATTGTGTGGTATTACCAAACCGATTGAGTATTGTTGCTTGTTGCACGGACCGACAGACACGCAGTAAATGCATATGTCCGTGAGCGCTTGATTGATTGGGTTACATGTTAGACTTTATCCTGCTGTCATCCATAATTTGCCAGTAAAAAGCTATCCAAGAAACAATTTACCTTCCTCTGTGCTTTACATGTGCAAATGAATATGCAGAATGGGTCCTCAGGGACTTGCACATACTCAATTTGTAGTGATTTCCCGATTGGAGTTTCAGATCTTTTTCTCTGTAGTATGTCTTTCTTCTAAGATAATTAATTTCTCATTGCCCTGTAGGCTTTGAACCAATGAATCAATATGAGTAACCTTTGATTATTGCTTTTGCTTGCAACAAAATCAACCAGTGATTCTTCCCCTTGAGTCGGTTCATCTACATGGATTTTTTAGACCATTAGTCTCTAATTTAGCTCTGAATCCTCTGTCACGCATCCATTTATTATGGACTTTGACACCACACCTTAAAATGTAGCAATATTTTCGTCCATTTCTCACTGGGTTGAAACCTTACAGTTGCTTTTCAGGATGCCCTTATTTATGCCATCTCATAATAACATACACTACAGAAAGTTCAACAAGATAGGAATACAAGCTGCAGACAACGGATCTGCCCCTCCTGTTTCACCCTGTGTGGGGAACAGTTGTGGAGAATACTCTCGCACAAGCGGAGTTTGTCATATTGGTTTCAAAACTCGACCTATTGCTTCTCCTACATTTCTGATTGGTCCTTGCTTACTTGAAGTACTCTACAGTTTTTAACATCTCTGTCTTACATATGGTTAATCTAAAAGATAAAAAGGGATGAGCTGTGTGTGCATACATCCTATTTTGATCGAGCGACAAAGACAAATTCAAATGTGGTTCTAGTCCTTTGCAACAGTTTGATAGGTTTATTATATCTAATTGCCAAGTTAAGGTCCATGGCGGATCTAACCTTCTGTGTGGAGATTGATGGTAGGCACCACATTCAGATTTGGCTCTAGCATCTGATTTTGATGACTAGACCAAGGCAGCAATCAGAGCTTGCCTGCCTGGCTTTTGCCTCTCTCTCTCTCTCTCTCTCTCTCTCTCCCTCCTATCAATGTCGCACTTCTTTTGGTTATGTGTACATCATGCGTCCAAAGTCTTATTCATTTGGAGAAGTCAATGCCACATTGACGCTGTATGACGAACCACATTGGTACCTGATGGTCACACTAGTTGAGTCCTATTGGTGGAATAGAATGGAAATGCAAGTTAATTACTCATGGTAAAATTTTGAAAGTTCTTAAAATTCAGGAGTATCTTCAGAAAATATTCAATTGGGCTTTTTAAGTAATTGGGCCAACAAATACTACATTACGAAAATCTACAAGCTCCATCTTGTGGTATGGTTACTTCTTTTCATTGTTGTAATGCTTCTTGGTGTGATTATTGTATCTTGCTTGTTCTTTTCTTTCTACTCTCGGTTGTAAACTTAACTTCAATGTCATTACAGGTTACCAATGATGAAGCCATCCAAATGGCAAGGAGGTTAGCTTTGGAAGAAGGTTTATTGGTAATCATTAACTTCTTTCTCCTTTCTTTACTGCTCTTGAACCTAGACCATAATATGGGAGTGTTATAATAACGCTCAACTGCTAGTCTTGACTCTTGACCTGCGTAATTTGGAGAAAAGAAAGAAGCCACTGACCTTATTGACTTTTGGTTCCAACTTAATAGGCCTTGGGAGTGAGGTTCAGATGTGTCTAGTCTTAGGCTTTCTTTTCGAAGGGAGTATCTGCTCCCAAAACTTGAGGCTGCAAAATTCTGTATGGTAGAAATAGAAAGTAAAAAGATCATTTGCTCTGACAAAGTATTAGAAATGGGGTTAAGAACACTTCTAGTAATAGGGCCCTCAAATTTTTTTTTTTTTTTTGGTTTTTGCAATCAAATCCTCCATCTTATTTAATTTATGTGATTGGGTTCCCTAATCACCTATTGTTTTTCCACCTGTCGTGCCAAGTTAGCAAAAATACAACACAAAATCAAACACAACCCCAAGAAAAAGAAAAACAAAGAAAACAAAGAAAACAAAGAGAGAGAGAGTGACAGAGAAACAGAGAGACAGAGAGACAGAGAGAGAGGTGTCACCCCTCCACCCCTGGCAAGGACCAGTGACCATTGCCCTTGGTGCTGGAGGTCTTTGTGGCGGCTGGCCCTTCCCCCAACCCCATCTCCTTTTCATTTTGCTGATGTGGCATGCTACATCATCTCCGTGTGGCAATTTCACTGCTACATCAGTTGTGCAACATCCATAAAATTGATGGAATGAGACAGAAGGAGCAGTTGCACTAGTGTGGTAAGAGGACATGATTGCACCCAAAAGAAGGAAAAAAAATTTGGGGGGACCGAGCTGCATATTTGACCAGATTTGGGAGGCCAAAACTGTACCTAACCCAAAATCCATGCAAACACGCTCGATTGGTACTAAAGTTTTTCCCTGTTGCTGACCTTGAGTTCACCATAGTACCAGATATCATCGTAACCATTCTTGTGAGACATCTTAGCAAAAATAGTGTTTTACAACTTTATCATGTATCTTTTAATTAAAGAAAAACATCATTGCATATTTTATTCTCATCTAGGTTGGCATTTCTTCTGGAGCTGCTGCAGCTGCTGCCATTAGTGTAGCAAGAAGACCTGAAAATGCAGGAAAACTTATAGTGGTAACTAACGGTTAACTCGTCATTTAGCTTGGTTTTGAATGGGCTTAACTTTGTCAAGAATGAACTTTATATTTTTTTGTAAAGAATGCATTGACAGAAGAAAGGTAGTGCAAGCACATGGCACCTTCATTTTATTCTTTCAAAAGAAATCGTCTTCTGTGGCCTAAAAGAAAAATGCATATCTTCTTTTAAGGGTGGGGATGGTGTGTGAGCTATTGAAGCTGTTGTGGTCCTATAATGCAGGTAATTTTTCCGAGTTTTGGAGAGAGGTACATCGCTACGGTTTTGTTCAATTCTATCCACGAGGAAGTTCGAAAATTGTGACAGTGTAAGAATTTGAGACGGATGAACTTCCCCCTCCAAGCCAAGGGGCGAGCTTGTCTATACTGTCTTTCGCAAATGAAGAGGGCTTGTCTACATTCTGATGGAGAGAACTAAAATGAGCTGACTTTTGGTATTAAAGCTTCTTTTCCTCCTACCCGGCATCTGAAATTCATGTCATCTAATGGACGGATATACATTTTCAGGAGCAATTTTCTCATGGAAGCACCGAAAGTAGGCATAAAATGTTGTGGACATCCTCGGACTTGCTCGCCCAAGAAAAGAGATGATAAAGACAGGTGGATTTTCCTTGAATTGTCCCATCGTTCAGTCCCTTACGAACTGATCGATATCCCATAATCAGATGGCTGTTCGTCCTAGTTTGTGTGTACGCAAAGATCGAAGCAAACTTGTAGGGCAAGGTTGATCTGCTTCTCAACGAGTCCATCGATCATCCTCAATATGTTTCATCCTTTTGCCCTCTGCCGTAGTTACCATAGATGTTTCGTTTATTACTGGAGAAAGAGGGTGTCTATACAAATGTATGAAATAGTCAACAGGGCATTTCCTCTCTGTTTTTTTCTGCAACTGTAAATATGCATCAGCATCAATTGATGACTTGGTTATCTTTCGAATCTCTTGGCGACATGACATGTTGTCTATATTCAGCAATGCATTCACGCTTGAATGATCTCATGGAGATCTGAGACTGAAACCCAATATTTATGCTTTGATCCTTTCAAGCAAGTGCACACTAGATTCTCACCTAACCAGTTGGTGCATCATCATTTCTGCTTAATTCTCCTATGGGGAGATTCCACAACCAAGGGTTGCGAATGGAAGTAGGTACGACGATTTAGTCGGAGCCATGATCGATGTCGTGGCGCTATCTGCCTCTGTAAGAACTCGATAATTTCGTGGATCTCGATGGGACTGGATGGGGTAGACATGAGCAAGCTCTAAAGGATTGTCAATTTCCAAATTTTCCTCAATCACATGCCTGTGTGCAACATGGGTCCTATCATGGTGGGCCTCTTCCAGGACTTAAGATGGACCAAAGGTCATGATCTTAAGATAATCAAATCACCACTTTCTAGTTCTTACTAGTAAAAATCATCATTGGCCAGGTCCATCTTAAACATCCAATGAGACACCCTAGTGCATAATATCCCAAACCCTAGCCTAACAAGTCCTGCAATTTTCAATTAAACATCATGCAATAACGGAAAATTAAATTCAATTTAAGACCCCATTACTACTTTTTGGGGGGGATCCTGATTTGTGACAGTGCTTATGCATTTGGCATTAGTGATGTCATTAATTGACTGACACTGATATCTGGGTCGATCTAAATGCGGTCTCAAAGTGAATAATGACGCCAATCCTACGTTTAGCAATTATTAATTGACTTTTCTTTTTTCTGAAAATTTGTCATCACATGGGCCATGCACTCCCCTAATTTCGAAGGCCATAAAGCAAGAGCCACTTAATGTGAGGGAGAATGGATGTGGACGAGTGATGGGAATGGGGAACACTAATTGTGGCCACTCAGTGTTAGGACAAAATTGAAAAATCGCATTGATAGGAGTGGGATCAGACAGTAATTAGACAAAAATAATGCGCCTTCCTTTTCAATTTAGAAGTAATTTCACATTAAACCAGGCTAGATTAATAAAATTTTCAATTTGCCCCCCGAAAGTTCGGTATGGCTCGGCCCTTGATTTACATTGTTGAGCACGATGTTGATGTCTATCATTTTAAGAAGCACGATTTTCTTTTATCGTTTACCCCGACTATGTGATGTAATTATTAACTACAAAAGGGAATTTTATGGAGAGCTTTACTTATCATTGTGTTCTTTTTTATTCTATTAGTATTTCGGAAAGTTTGGAACACAAATTGAGGATCGATTTTTGTTCATTCTAACGGAAGAACTCACCATTCAAAAAAAGATTGGTTCCTTTTAAGTCAAATGTTTGATCTTGTGATTTTTGCAGCTTCCAAATCATCTAATGTAAGGTACTAGTGGACATATCCGATATGGGATACTTTCTTTTTCTTAAAATATCGATTACACACAGCACGGGAAAAGTTGGTATGTTAGAATTAAACTGTAAAGTTTTTTTAATTGATCGTTTAATAAATGCGTCAAGGCACTCGTTAAGAAATATTCTACATAAAAACAGTATAAACGAGTTTCCATTTAGTAAATTAGTTTTCATTCTTTTCAAATTGATAATCTATGTACCACAGGCTTCGATTTGATTCAATTTCAATGTACTCGATTTCCAATTTTTCTCCAATCCTATAAAAATATTTAATCGAATGATTTACTTTGTGGCTATGGTATGGATGCAAATGGCTGCTATATATATATATGACTTTATATTTCTGTGGCTGGAATTTTAGTACTTTGGACGTTGACTTGCATTGGGGGAAAATTACCAAAAAAGTCTTAAACCTTTTGCAATTATGCCAATTTAGTCATAAACATTTTTTTGGCCATTTTAGTCCTAAAACTTTTGTAATTATGCCAATTCAGTCCATCCGGCCACTTTTGGCTGGTCGGCGCTGACGTGGACACCGGCCGGCTGACGTGACATTATTTTAATTGTTTTTTCCTTTCTCTCTCTTTTTTTTTTTCTTTCCTTCTTCCCCCTGGCCGGTCCGACCAGGGGGAGGCTCGCCGGCAAGGTGACCTCGCCGACCATGGACGAGGCCTCGCCCAGATTTGGTGAGACCTTGCCGGTGAGCCTCCCCCTGGCCGAATCGGCCAGGGGGAAGAAGGAAAGAAAAAAGAAAAAGAGAAAGGAAAAAAAATGTTAAAATAATGTCACGTTAGCCGACCGGCGTTCACGTCAGCGCTAACTAGCGTCCACGTCAGTGCCGGCAAGTCAAAAATGGTCGGATGGACTGAATTGATACAATTACAAAATATTTAGGACTGAAATGGCAAAAAAAAAGGTTTAGAATTGAATTGGTACAATTACAAAAACTTGAGGACTTTTTTGATACTTTTCCCCTCGCATTGGTTACAACCGCACCAGCTTCTAGGTTTTTATGGCCCTGTCAGAATTGCCACGTGTCACCATTCGAGATTTTTTTTTTGGGTCGGAAATCACCATTCAAGATTGAGTTGCAAGAAACAGGACACAGCAGGTCCCATGAAAAAGTTATCAGTTAATGTGTGTGTACATAGAAATCTATCGTCAGACCATATCGACCACCTAATAATCCATTTTATTATTATTTTCTTATCATCATTTTCTGAACGAATTATATTTTGCTCCCTAGGTTTTCCGGATTGTTGCAAAATCCCCGCCCCCCCTCCTTATATTTTTAAGTCTATTTCGATCTCAAATGTTTACAACAAAGTCATAACGAATGCTGTCAAGCGACCTACCTGCGATGATCCTACTCTCTGGTCCGCATATCGTGGACATAATGGGGGTATGAACAAGGGCGAGGCGAGGCGACTCCACCCCTATTAATCTAAGCAAGCCGGTTGAGAGCATGCCTCGGATTTCGGTGCAAAATTTGGTTAGAGCCAACGAGGAGGAGTTTTGAGACGAGCTTGGAAATATATATCAAGGGGACATTGCAACAATGGAAATGGCAAGAAGAATTTTACAGCGATTGGGAAAACTTGAGGGTCAAAATGTGACTCCGCTTAATTTATTTATCTAATTTGAGATTGAGGATACTCGATTTAAATGAGCGAGATTACGTCGGGATGTCAAATGATATAAGAATTGTATAATGCGATCTCTCGCGGTCCCACGCCCATGACCGTGTTTTTCTTACACTTGGACAAGGGCTATTTATGAGGATCATAACCAGAGGGGGGTGGCTCTATTGTCTCACAGGCCAGCCATGCAATGTTAGGTAGAAAAGATGATAGCTATTAAGGAAAGTGATGTCCGTTCCATTCATCTTTGCTCAAATGGTCCCCTACTATGTCAAATTATTAGGGTTTCTCAAGCATATTATGTGCATCCATATCTCTCTCTCTCTCTCTCTCTCTCTCTCTCTCTCTCTCTCTCTCTCTCTCTCTCTCTCTCTCTCTCTCTCTCTCTCTCTCTCTCTCTCTCTCTCATATTGAATCCAGCAATCGAGCCCATCGCATTTACAAAAAAGATAATGAAGGCATGTTACTTGAAAAACTAAAAATAGATAGATAATCAAGATGCGTTTTACTAGCGATATCATTGAAAATTTAAGTTATGTATGCATGGGGTCAAACGAAAGTCCATGACTCTTTCAAGCCAAGTAAACCCTCCTAGCTAAAGCTTCGGTATCCGCTTCAATGTGCGGTCACAATCATCGCCACATCAATCGCAAGCACGAAACCTATCTCTAAAGCCATCAAATTCTGATGAGAATCTCTAATCATAAATCGATCGCACGTATTATTCGACCGTTCTCGGACTGAACCCATGGTTCCAAGAAATAAAACCCTAGCACACTCATTCAAACAACGTTATCTTACTCAACCTATATGCATGCATGCAAAGAAACTGTCAAGAACAACCTGCTAAAGATTAACATTCTGCTGCAATAACAACACAACCCATGTAACTTACAGTGATGTTTTCGCGAATTATGAGGTAGGACATATGTGAGAGAGAGAGAGAGGGAGACCATGAACACAGGTTTTGCAAAAGTTGACGTAGGCCATATGTAGGAGACAGCAAAGTACTTGATGTACTAAGCTGTGATTCCTCCGTATCCACAACAGGGCGTCTCACTATTCATTTTTCTTAGCATTCAAGCGGACTCGACTGGCGCTTGCGGTACGGCATACGATCTCGAGCAAGGAATATTCATACGACCGATCGATTGACAGAAACCCTAAAAAGAAAGGAAAAAAGAAAACAGAGAGAGTTCGAAATCCCATTATTTCCACAGCAAAGTTCGCATCTGCAGAGTGTTTGGTGGATCTGCAGAGGCGGAGGATATTGCGTTTGTCCCCATGAATAATTACGAGGTTTCTCTGTCGGTCGTCATCATCGCAAGGTCAAGTACCAGCCACACGCGCGCGAACAATAAAAATGACATAATAGCCAATAATTAATATTTACCAGAAATGGAGGCCATGGGAAAAGAAGGGGGAGGACAAAAAGAAAAAAAAATCTAGCAATTGCCCTTCTCTTCCCGGCATAGTACATGAAAATGTCAACAACGTTTAAAAAAAATCTCAAACCAATACATCTAAGAAACATTTGCCCCCGAACTAAATCTATACTCCATAACATAATTAACCTAAACCGAAGAATCCCAAATCGATACATTTGATCCTAAATCTACCTCAAATCAACCCTCCATTAGCGGCTTGTGATCCGATGTGAAAGGTAGATTCGGGTCAGTGGTACTCATTTGGGTTTTTTTCGTGGGAAGATAACTATTCTGGTCCTGGGGCACTGATTCGCGACTCTTTATAAGATGAAATTTAGTTTGATAAAAATACATTATGGGATGCCAGGTTGGGGACGTCGCCATACAGTTTTTTTTTACTTAGATTTATGGTAATTTTTTTTCTTGGCATTACCCTATTTGAACTGTAGGGGTTGGGTACCGTGACGTCCTTCGGTTTTCATCTTTTTACCATTTATAGGACCTGTCGCACGTTGTTTTCCTTACCATTTTATCCTTTTTTCTTGTGGCATGGTTTGGTAATGTTTTAAAAACCATGTTTCACATAAGCATTTCGTGAATGACAACAAACCAAATCATTGTCGACCTGTTCGATCGATTTGCTGGCACAGATATACTAATTATGGAGAGTGCCAAGGCTGACCAATATTGCATGCATAAGCTACGAAACATGTACGTACAACTCACCCCCAGTACGTATCCTTCCCCTCATCATCCTCCACCATACATACGTACTGCGTTGGAACACATGCTCGTAAGTACAAGTTACCCTTTGTCCACTGTAATGACCTCATTTGATGATCTGAAACCATGTCGAGATCTATCTATTCTGATGAAAGGGTAAATGACACAAATGGTCCAAGAACTTTGGCCCAATATGCAATGTGGTCCTTCAACTTTAAATTTGTTCGATGTAGTCCGTGAACTTTAACCTAACATGCAATTTGGTCTTTGAACTTTTAGTTTGTTCAATACATGTTCAATTTAGTCTCTGAAATAAATGAAAATGTTCGATATTATCCCTGAACTTGAATTAATAAAAGAACAATATTGAACATTTTCATATAGTCTGTGGACTAAATTGAACATGTATCAAAAGTTCATGGATCACATTGAACAAATTAAAAGTTCATGGACCACATTACATATTGGGCTAAAGTTTAGGGAACCAAATTGAACAAATTTAAAGTTCATTGACTATATTGCATATTGAACCAAAGTTCAGGGACCATTAGTATCATTATCTCCTGATGAAAAGTTAAACTCCATTCACATTGAAGAATATGTTGGATATGTGTTGCGGATGTCATTGATATTAGCCCGGATGTTTTGGGAAAAGCTGATTTAGATATGAAGTATTCGACACCTACTAGTCACAATAGTCATCGCAACACTATGGCAGCCACGCACGGTCCTAATTAAGGTGAGATCTAGCGAACATCGGACCACACTTTGACACGTTCAGATCGTCGAGTTTAGGATCTTAGAGGCGTAAAATCATGAAATCGACCGTCTAAAATTATGTCAGAACTCCGATCCGCGGACAAAGTAATTGACCTAAACCTGTTTTTCGAATGAGTAATTTAGCTGTATACACAATAAACTTGTAAGGGACTACTTCTAGTCAAAAGCCGCCGTGAAATTTCCTTTACACTCGGTCGGTTGTCTGCTAGCATTGCTTTTAGTCATTCTAACTACTGTGTCGTTGAGTTTATTAGATTGAAGGTCCAAAGATAAAGACGAAGTCAAAATGCACAAGTACTAAATGAATTATCTCATAGATCAGCGATATCACATGTCATGCCGACTTCATATCATTCGACTAATCGAATCTATTTGGATTTTAACGTTAAAAAATCCGATGGGTGACGAGGGAAGTTACGTGTCGATCACATGCAGATGTAATTGACTTGATGATGCCATGACATCACGATCCACTAGGACTGATGCACGAAATATTTCGTCAATGGGAAGAGTATCACAGAATTGTGGGAACAAGGGGCAAAAACAGAAAGCCCTTTGATGAAACCTGTGAGTATAAGTTGCATGGTAGGCATGGCATTATAAGCATTAGTTTGCCAGCTTCTCACACCGAAAGGTCAATTTGAAATCACATGTTTCACCATCTCTCACTCCTTCATGAAATCAAAAGGCCTTCCCTTTTTTTTTTCCTTGAGGAGACCCCCCCGTTTACCCCAATTGGGTGTGCAAGAATTTCGTGACACATTGGCGATTTTACTTTTATTGGCTATTATTCCCAACCCTTTTGTCATAACTCTCTCCCCTCTCCTTCTCCTCCTTTTGCTTCATTGAAATCCTCAAATGAACAATTACGTACCCACTTGGGAAAAAAGAAGATTGAGTGAGAATATCAACCTTTGTTAACCCTAGATCTCAATTCTATAGCTGACCCAGTTCCAACGCTAATCGAAGGTTACCAGGACCATTATCTTGTCATAATTAAGCGTTTACGTCACCATTAGTCTACCTAGCTAGAAAGGTTTATTATTTAGTGATATTGGAGAATGTTGCGAGGCCTGCTTCGTAGCTCCTGGTCATGTTTGCAAAATCATGCATTCAATTTATGTTTCATTCTTCATCTACTTCATTGCAAGAGTGTAAAAGTGTATATTTGCAAGGAGTGTTCTTAGTTACAGGCGTGTATGTCCCGGCCCACAGTCGGTAGGAATTTTGGACCAACCATTCGTGCTTGCTAACATAAACTAATTGCGCATCTCATGTTATGATGGATGACTGAAGCTGATTAATGAGCAGCACGTCACATGACCCAAGTAAGACTTTTGAAATGATGCTAAGCGACGTTTGGTAATTCATTCACAAGAGAACCAAATTAGATTTACAAAAGCTGCAAATTAGAGATCCTAAACCTTCTTTTAGAACCCCCCACATAACCAAGTACCAAGTCCCACACACATAAAAAAACCTCTTAAAGCTATATATATTTTTTCTCTTTTTTTCCCCTTTCAATCCAAACCTAAACAAGAAAAGAACAGCAACATGGAACAAAGGGTTGTCATCAGAACATCGAAGGTAACTCCATCATGTCCTCTACTTGACCGGAAGCCGTCTCGTCTAGGAGCCACTTCTCTAGAAAGGTTAGCGGCGGCGCGTGCTCGGACGACTTCGCCTTATTGTAATTCCTCTCCAGCATCATTATCCCATGAACCTTCTCGTCATCATTCGCATCGCTAGGTCGATCATCGCTGCAATCACCCTTGTGATGATGAGGATGATGAGTTGAATTGCCATTCGACTTGTCCCATGAGACGTTGCAATTATTGTCCATGTTCCCGAACGACAGGATTGACTCGAACTCATCGTGGGAGATCAAGCGATCGCCAGGTTCTTGATGCTCGGCCTTAGGGCGATAGCAGCTGCCACCGTTCTTGTTCTCGTGGCCAGTGAAACCCTTCTCATCAGGGAACTTCAGGCGGTCGTTGTTGGTGTTGCTGTTAGTTTTCGGGGAAGATCTCATCCAGCCCTCAAGGAGCCTCGAGATGTTCTCAGTGCTAGAGGCATATGTGGAGGTGAGGCTGAGCTTGTTGAGAGTGGAAGACGATGAGGAAGGGCTGCTGGTTGTGATGAGGTCCAAGCTGCTTGATGACCTTCTCTGATGATGGGGGTCATCAATGCTTCTTGAGGGGGTGGTTGTGTCTGAGGAGGCCATGTTGTGGGGGTCCATCATGGAGGATGATGATGGTGATTGCAACTTCTTGAGCTTCTTCTTTAAGTGTGTGTTCCAGTAGTTCTTTATGTCATTGTCTGTCCGCTGTGGGAGGTATGAAGCTATGGCCGCCCATCTGAAACGGGAAAGGAAAAATCCCAGATAATTAACAAGAAATAATAACGAAAAAAAAGGTTGGATATATGCAATCATCATCGAAAAATCGGATTAAATCGAGAATGTTTCATGGCGATTCGAGGGTAAAAGTTATTACTTGTTACCCAACAAGGCTTGGAGATGAATGATCATGCCTTCTTCATGGGGTGTGAAATTGCCCCTCTTGATTCCTGGTCTGAGGTAGTTAGTCCACCTGAGCCTGCAACTCTTGCTGCACCTCAACAATCCTTTTGTCCCCCCAAAAAAAGGAAAAAAAAAACGGACTATCAACAAAATTCATGAAAAACTTATACTTCACGAGATTACTGTAACCGGTCTAAGATCGATCGAGGTCGAGCTCGGATCTGGGGCGAATAGGGTGCACCCGCTGTTACCTGTATTGGTTGGGACGGATCTCCAGTTCCCGGGGCCGTGCTCTTGAATGTAAGACACCAAGATGATGTCTTCTTCAGGAGTCCATGGCCCTTTCTTGATGCCAACTTGGTCACAGCATGGAGGTCTCCCCATAGCCACAATCTCTCTCTCTCTCTCTCTCTCTCTCTCTCTCTCTCTCTCTCTCTCTCTCTCTCTCTCTACTGTATCATCACCGACTAGTACATATGTTCTCTCTCTCTCTCTCTCTCTCTCTCTCTCTCTCTCTCTCTCTCTCTAGTGTTTTTTTTTCTCTTAGGGGTGAGAATGTGAGAGTGTGTATGGACCTGAATGAATAGTTCCATGAGACCCAGAGAGTGCATATATATATATATATATATACATGGGGTGATTTAAATAGTGGGGAAGGGGCAATTTCTTCTATTGTTTTCTGTAATTTTGTTATATCAAATCCACACTTTTGATCTACCATGCTGAGTCAGCAGGGCCGTCTCATTAACTTAGAAGCTTAAATGGAGTCAATCTGGAGGCAAAAGTCAGAAGAGGAGGTTTTGCATCTCCCTGGCTCACGTGCCACTTCTCATAAAGTTGTGGAACTTCACCACCCCAAAAAAATAAAAAAACAAAATTTTTGCTGTTTTTATTTTTTTTAATTACACTGACTGTTCTCAATATTCTATTTATCTCACCCTTTATGTATATGCTTCTTGATATTTAATATAAACGATTAAAAACGATTAAAAGTATCCAACATCGTTCATTTACGAGATAAATATGTTTTTTACATATATGTGTTCTTGCTGCATTTATAAATTTAAGGTATTGGGTTGGCCATTTTAACATGGTATCCAAGTTTCATCCCGATTTATAAAAGGGGTGTTAATTTGTATGTGTGCGATCTCTCCACACTTTAAATTGAGGGTATACAAAATCACTAATCTTTTTACCAAGAAGGTGCTTCAATCTAATTTTTTTTTCTTTTAAGTTGTAGCGAAAAGTGTAAAGAATTGAAAACAAGCGGGTTACAAATGTTAATTTATATGCGTGCGATGTCTCCACACATTAAATTCAGGGTGGACAGAGTCACTAATTTTTTTACCAAAAAGGTCGTTTTATCTATTTTTTTCTAGTGAAAAGTGTAAGAATTCAAAACAAGCGGGTTCCTAATGTAAATTCCGAAATTGAAGGATGCTTCGGAAAGATAAAAGAAAACGAGGATGCAAAATGCAATATGTGGTAAGTCGAGGGTGGCTTTTGCAATTTTCCCCTATTTTTTTAGGGAACCTTCCATCTTCTTTCTCATGGATCTCTTCCTTGTGGTACAAAGAGTTTAGGCAAAAGGACACTATAAGTGCCATAACTTGTGTACGGCGATTACTTTGGTGCCATAATTTTTTTTCGGATCACTTTGGTGCCAAGTCGGAGGAAAATAGATCACTTTAGTGACTCCGGCCAAAATTCCGGCCAAAAAGCTAACATGACATTTTTCATTTAAAAAAAAATGGTCTGACTTGTACACGTGAAAATTAGGTGGCTTTTTTTCGAATTTTTTAATTTTTTGATTAAAAAAAAAAAAACGTTGCAGCAGCGGCGAGGGAGCCCTCGCCGCTGCTGCCGCCAACCCACTACCGCCGGGAAGGGCCGGCGGTGGTGGGCGGAGTGGTCGGTGAGGGCCGGATCCGGCGAGGCGAGACCTCGCCGTCGACACCTAGGCGACGGCGAGGTCTGGCCTCGCTGTCGACACCTAGGCGACGGCGAGGTCGGCCTCGCCTTTGCTGGGCGAGGCGAGACCTCGCCGTCGCGACCCAGGCGACGGCGAGGTCTCGCCTCGCCGGATCCGGCCCTCGCCGACCACTCCGCCCACCACCGCCGGCCCTTCCCGGCGGTGGTGGGTTGGCGGCAGCAGCGGCGAGGGCTCCCTCGCCGCTGCTGCAACGTTTTTTTTTTTTTTTCTAAAAAAGTACACGTCAACGAGAAAAACGACGTCGTTTTTGATTTTTAATGCTGACTGGACCTCTCCGGCGAGCCGTGGACCTCTCCGGCGAGCCATGTCAGCGCCATATCGGATTTCCGGCGAGCCACGTCAGCATTGGCACTAAAATGATCGTTTTTCAAAAAGTTGGCACCAAAGTATTCCGAAAAAAAGTTATGGCACCAAAGTGATCTCCGTACACAAGTTGTGGCACTTCTGGTGTCCTTTTGCCAAAGAGTTTAGGTAGGCTAATAAATTCTTGGTCAAAACCCACAGTGATGACAATATCGAAAGGGTTTTTCCATTACTTGTCCTTTGGTTTCACCAAGAAAGTTACGCTATTGTTATTGTCTATTTAAGCTTTTTTTGTCGAATTTTATCTTCACAAGAATTTCCCATGTGAAGCTCTCAGTGTTGCTGAGTCATTGTGCCATCGTAACCTAAACACATCCTTCTTTAGTATACAAAATCGTGGCTTTAATTTACCTATGCATACAAGTTACAACCAAAAACCCTAGCTTTGAAGTGGATTCTTTAGGTCATTCTACAATCCTCTCCTCTTTTTCAATTGTTCATTTGTTGTTTGTTTTTGTTGTTGTTAGGTATAGAATCTGACCTATGCGAGTGCAAATCAAAAACGGATTTTATAAGAGCTTTCTCATTTAAGGGGTCGCGAGCATTGAATTCGGTGGCTTGATAGGGTGAGGAATCGGTGATCGAGATTAATAATACGAGTAATTTTAGGTAAATTGAGACTAACTTAAGGAATCGATACGTTAAGTGATTTGATACATTGTAAATGGGTATTTAAATAAGTGGGTCATATTCAACACGCGATAAAAATCTCTCGCATTGTATACTCTTATTAGTTATGTCAATCAATCTTAGCCTATGCTTTAATGTTATCCGAGATATAGGTAGATGCTGATAATAGCCTAGTTCATGGAGCAACACTTAATCTGCGGCAAGAATGAAGTTTCGCATCACCTTCGACCTTAGATCTTTGCTACAAGGAAAACTACAATAAGAATAGCAGACACCCTAGTTATCATTTAATATAAGGGAAATTATTTTTAAGGAAACATTTCAAGTACTCGGTCTATATGCTCTCTCTCTCTCTCTCTCTCTCTCTCTCTCTCTTGTTTTTTACGCAATTCATGTCTATTACTATCGATATGGATAGTCGGTCAAATTTTCAACCTATAACTACCTAATCAATGGCGATGAAAGTAGGTTACGTAAGACTGCGCATATAACGTACAAAAATCTTTATCCTTAATAGAACATCTCTACTATATATGACTCTTACATTAACCTTTACAGCCTTATTTCATCTTCACATACGTTAATGCAAAACATGGTATTGATATAGTTAATCTACGTACTTATTCTTGGTAGCTACATAATTGCAAACTTCCAAGGTATGATCACACACACACACACAGGCGTTTGCAAGTAGATTTGAGATAAATGAAACTTTGATGGCACTTATATTTACTAAAAATTAAATTCTACATGAATTATATTATGTATTGGCAGTAATCAACTCGATCGCATAACTCTAAGATTATGTAGACTTTAGTAACGTTTGTCTAGGGCTTGACATCAATAAGTTGAAAAATGACTCAAAACTGGCATAAAAATTAGCAAAATTACTAGAAACGAGAAGCCGAAGACAGCAAGAGGAATGTCACCGATCTTCGGAATTTTCGGAGAATGTTCTTATTTTTTTGGGGTTTGCAGAGTACTTTGACATGCCCAACAACTAATGCGGTTTGACATGCCCAGCCTATGAATGTCCCCATCTTTGACCTCCCCATCTCTCTCTCTCTATACACATATATACACATATATATTTGCACCGAGATTTGGCCAAATCGTCGATAAGGATAGACACGTGATCAGAGTGCACATGAGCCATTGTCGACAATCATAAGAATTGTTATCGATATTAAAGTACATCGATGACCATTGATCAGCCGTTGATATACGACGATATATGGTGAGCGATAGCCGACAATGATATCGATTTAAAAGGGGCGATGGATTGCCGATTGAGGCACCAAGAGAAGGTTGAATGCCTAGAAGGTGTCGAGATGCAGTTATGAGTTTTCAAATTTGAAGCAACTGGTGAGTGAAGCAATGGAGTCTAGAAAGTTGTGGAGTAACCAAAACGCGATTTTAAGGAAACAACCGCTTGAAGACAAGATTATGGCATCATATATATATTTGCATCAAAGACGGCGACTAGCAATAAAACATGGGAAATTATTTCTCTTGTTTGGAAGGTTTTTTTGTTTTGTCTGTCTTTCTCTAACTCTCAACTTACTTTCAAATTTTTGCCTTATCTCTTGCAAGGCGTAGAAGTTGAAACCCAACTACACGTTCCCACCCCTAGCTCTCCGAGAAAGTGGGGATTCGAATTCCCCACCTCCCCCTTCCTAAATAGGAAGAGTGGCCACTGGGGCAAACCCCAGTGGTTTTCTTGTTTGGAGGGTTAAATTGCAGGGTTAATGATACAAATGATCCCCAAACTTTGATCCAATGTGCAATGTGGACCATAAACTGTAGCCCAATGTGCAATGTCGTTCCCGAAAGTCTATGGATTTTTTGTCCATGCTCAATTTAGTCCATGAATTGTATGGAAATGTTTAATGTTATCTCTGAACTTGAATATTGCATGTTGGGCTAAAGTTCAGGAGCCGCATTGTATAAATTTTAAGTTTGGGAAATACATTGCACGTTGAAACAAAATTCATGGACTATTCGTGTCATCGAACTTTTCATTTCAACCCTCCAAACAAGAGAAATAATCTGGTATGCTTTTACTGCTGCTTACCGTCTTTGATCTTCCTCGAACCAAAAACTTTGAAGGGGGTTGAACTTTGAGCTAATTTGCACTACGGGAGCTCATAGCCGGTTGGCACTTCAGCAGATCACTGTAATCGGCAAGAAGACATCTTCGTAGTTCAACCTAGACCCGGCAAAAACAAACCCGGACCCGATATCCGAACCCTAACCCTGATGTCGGGTTAACCCAGTTTAACCGGTTTGACTAAGCATGAGGATAGACATCTTTATCTTTTTTATTTATTTATTTTTGGCTCGAATCATAATTGAAAATTTCAAATAGTTAAAATCCCACGCTCTGTTTAGTGTTGTTAGTCAGGATACGGGTAATATCTCGAATAAGTATATCACTTCTATCATTTCCTAGTTTAAAATGGGTTGATCAAAAT